AGGGTATACTCAGACTAAGATGTCTTCTATCCGCTTGTTTTTATCTATGGCTGCTCTCCGCCACTGGCCTCTGTACCAATTAGACATTAAGAATGTCTTTCTTCATGGTGAGCTTCAAGAAGAAATCTATATGGAGCAACCACCTGGCTTTGTTGCTCAGGGGGAGTCTGCCTTGGTATGTAAACTTCGTCGCTCTTTGTATGGTTTAAAACAGTCCCCTCATGCCTTGTTTGGACGATTCAGTAATGTCATTCAAGAGTTTGGGATGATTTGGTGTGAGTCTGATCACTCTGTTTTCTATAAACATAACTCATCAGGGCAATGCATATATCTGGTTGTCTATGTCAATGATATTGTTATTACGGGAAGTGATCAGGATGGCATTAAATAGTTGAAGACACACTTGTTCCACCACTTTTAGACCAAATATTTGGGATTACTTAGATACTTCCTTGGTATCGAAATGGCTCAATTTAGCTCAGGTATTGTTATTTCTCAGAGGAAATATGCACTGGATATTTTGGAAGAAACAGGATATCAAACTGTAGACTGATGAACTCTCCTATGGATCCTAATTCAAAGCTCTCACCTGTACAGGGGGAGCCTCTTGCAGATGTTGGGAAATATCGAAGACTGATTAGTAAACTTAACTATCTCACCATTACACGACCTGATTTTCTTCTCCGTCAGTGTTGTTAGTCAGTTTCTACAGTCTCCTTGTGACGGTCATTCGGATGAAGTTATTCGGATTTTAAGATATATCAAGGGTACACCAAGCAAGGTCTGTTATATGAAAACGGGGCCATACACAAATTGTCGGATATTCTGATGCTGATTGGGCAAGTTCTCCATCTGATAGACGTTCCACTTCAGGTCTTTGCATTCTTGTGGGAGGAAACCTTGTATCTTGGAAAAGTAAGAAGCAAGATGTCGTTGCCAGATCGAGTGCAGAGGCAGAATACCGTGCAATGGCTCTAGCAACTTCTGAACTTATTTGGTTGAAGCAACTAATCCAAGAATTGAAGTTTACAGTAGTAAAGATAAAGTTACTTTGTGATAATCAAGCTGCTCTCCATATTACCTCCAACTTGGTGTTTCACAAGAGGACTAAGCATATAGAAATTGACTACCATTTTATCAGAGAGAAAATCTTATCTGGTTGTATTACCACTAGTCATGTCAGCTCAAATGATCAACTAGCAGATATCCTCACTAAATCACTTAGGGGTCCTCGTATTGACTTTATTTGTAACAAGCTTGGTGCATATGATTCATATGCCCTAGCTTGAGGGGGAGTGTTGAGTTATACAAATCAAATGTTTTAAGAATAGGATCTTTAGAATAGGAAATTAGATCATTCCCTTTCCTAGTTTAGATTATTTCATTTCCTTATATGGACTGTTGATTGTGTATATGTTGTTGTATTTTGTTCACAATCAATATGAAGAAAATTCTTCTGATTTCACATATACGAGAATTGTATCCGACAAGAACAACCAAAAATGAAAATTAACACAACCACAAGAATAGTAAAAGGATAACAAAAATGGATATAGACATGCTGGACTCTGAGGGCCAGCTCCTCCCTAATTGCTAACTTCAAGGGTTAGCTCCTCCCAAACTTCCCTATATTCTTCTCTACCCTAATCTGCTCTCTCCCTCTCTTTTTATCCTCCAGCTCTCTCTCTTTCTCCCTAACTGAATTCCTTTGTTGTCCCAACCCCAAATCGCCACCTGTCCTAGCCTAAACCCATGGAAGTTTCCTACCAACATCCCCTCAATCCACTACTTGTTATCTTATTTCACTTTTCCTACACCCTCAATCCACTACTTGGGGAGGGTAATGATGGGACCTGGATAATGAGGGTGTAGGAAAAATGAAATAAGATAACAAGTAGTGGATTGAGGAGATGTTTGCAGGAAACTTCCATGGGTTTAGGCTAAGACAGGTGGCGATTGGGGGTTGGGACAGCAAAGTAATTCAGTTAGGAAGAAAGAGAGAGAATTGGAGGATAAAAAAAGAGGGAAAGAGCAGATTAGGGTAGAGAAGAATATAGGGAAGTTTGGGAGGAGCTAACCCTTGAAGTCAGCAATTAGGGAGGAGCTGGCCCTCGAACTCCAACATGTCTATGTCCATTTTTGTTATCCTTCTACTGTTCTTGTGGTTGTGTTAATTTTCATCTTTGATTGTTCTTGTCTGATACAATTCTCGTACATATCATTATACTTATCATCTTTCTGGGTTTCGGCTGTGCCTTCTACTGTTTTACTGGTTTTTGCTATTTGATTTGCTCTGGAATTGTTGCTTGGTTCAATTGTGGAAGAGGGTTCCATCATATTGCTTTTTCGAAGTATAACCTTATTCATAAAACAGTAAAATGCTATATTTTTTGTAAAGTTTTAGACTACTAGTCTGGCTCATTCACTGAAGTACTAGTTCACACAAATCATAAATCTACTAAACTAAATATCTTTTTTCTGAAATACTAACTAGTATAATCTATCATTGTTTAACTTTCATAATAAAGCTAATCTATATACGGAAGACCACACTAAACTAGGACCCAAGGGATATATTGGTTAAACCTGGCTGACTATCTCACGTAGGCAAAGTGGGGATAGGCTAGTCATACCTAACAAAATCTTTGTTGTAAAGTAGAGCAATAGTTATAGCTAGTCATAGCTAACAAAAAAAACTCATCACTCAAGCAGAGCAATCAATATTGATCATACCAGGCGAAAAACTCAATTCAAGCAGAGCAATAAATATAGCTCGTCATATTTGACAGAAAATTGATCATTGAAGCATAGCCAAACTGAATCTGTATACTGAACACTGGGAAAGGGTACTTCGTATGGTGGTTTGGAATCCACTAGTAGTGTGTTAACAAAAAGTATAGTTTTTCTTTAAAGTAAGTACATATAATTTTTTCTTAAAACGAAAATATATTTCTAATATATTATTATATTCTATAAAATGTCTCTCTACATGTCAAATAACTCGAGCATTAAATAAAGGCATTTCCTTTTCTTAGCTATGTAACTTCTCAAAAGTATTAAAGACCAGCATGCAACTTTCATGTAATAAAATATTCCAAAGTACCATGATATAAAAACTTTGAAAGCTAGAACCCATTGGGTAATTTACAGGTGGTATACAAAATAGTCAAATCATTTTAGAGAACTCATTCATCAAGCTTGCAAAAGTTCCAAATCATATCAACAGAAGCCAATGCCGCTCAACATGTCACTCTACACAAATTCTTAATCCATTATTCCAACCAAAATCCAATTAATTAAAACTTATTTATAATCATTCGTAGCATGAGCACACAAGTCTTAATAATAATTGACAAAGTTTTGAAAACATGTATTAGCTACACATCACCCAATTTAAGCATAATGAATTAAATATTATGCTATTCCAGGAAAAGAAAAAAGAAAAAAAAGAAAAAAAAAAATGATTCATATAATATCATTAACCTTAGCCAACATTAAAATAACTCAAAACTTAGGTCTTTTGAGAATAATTAAAATTTCAACCAATATAATAATTGACCAAGCACAAACTGTAATTTAATTTAGGAATTTCTATAACCATAATTTGATTAAACACAATTAATTATAACACGTTTATTATAAAAGCATTTTTAAAGTTTCCCCTCACCTTTGTTTTTTTCTTTTTTTTTTTCCTCTTCTTTGCATATATGATAAGAGATGGCATTAGTTGTTGAATTGAAAGATACAAGATTTGTAGAGGAACAAAGCTTTGATTTCTTTTATTACAAGAAATATATGTAGTGATGGAACATTAACTACTTTCCTCAGAAAGAGATTTCTCAAGTAGAGATAAAGGAGGTGTTTACTCCTCTAATTAAATGATATGGGCATATGGTGAAGAACGGAGTAACTAGGCCAATAGACACTAGCAATAAATTATGGTTCCATCGTCATTTGTGACCCAAGACTAACTCCAAAGCATCTTCAATCTAGATGTCTTGCAAAGATTTGTATAAATAGCTTCTTGCTTTCATCAATCATGAGTTCACAAATTGCTTCTCCTTCCAACATGAGATTGTGATTTAATTGCTTGCTCTTCAACTACCCACTAGTTAACTGATTCCTATCTCCAATTATATTTTGCACATCAGATGCTTCAAATAAGGTTAATTTTACCTAACTAGAATAACACTACAACAATTGAATAATCCACCAGCAAGAAACTTGCGACCAATATGTGCAATCTTCAACTCAACTTAGGTAGGTCTTCCATTCCCTAATGACAAGTAGTCAGCTCTCTATTGTATAATTATTGCAACACATGATGTTTTTAGGCCATAAAATGCCTTCTCGTCTGCCCTCCAAAACAAACTTCACCAAGTTTATTGATTTTCAATTGTCAACCAAACAAGAGAATATGAATCATGACCTTGACTCACTAATTTATCTAAGAAACAAGAAGTCAACTAATATAGAACTTGAATGCAATATGCAACTTAAATCCGCAAGTGCTTACTTGTACTTGCCAAAAATATGTGTTAAACCATAAGCCACACACTCATCTTCCCGAACTTCTTTTCATCTATAGTCCTAAAGAAACTACTAAGTAAATAGGAAATCAATTCCCCCCAGAAAAACTTTCAGGTCAAAAAATCTGTCCCAAACTAGGACAATACAACCCTATTTATACGCTCTCAAAGGAAGTAACCTCATCATCATGAATCATAAACGTCAAGCTAGTAACTTATAAATTTGAGTAACTCTATTATTATGAATTCTTGCGATAGTTTTTGTTTGTCCATGAATTTACATTCCCTCTTTCATTAAAATATAGACACAAAATTTTGTGATATCTGTTTATTGTACATTTATTGCAATTATACTTTGATGGGTTAGCATGACAATAAACTATAAAAAACTGTAAAAAGACCCTCATGATTTATAGTCTAATCAAGCTCCAAATTGGATCACATATGTAGAAAGATTGAAGAAGATGATACCTATGAAGAACACAAGCATGAGGCTTCCATCGCCATTTGAAATATGAGGAATCTTGGCGTCCATTGCTTTGGCAATCGAATGCTTCGTCTACATAAGGGCACGAACCCGGTCTATAAATTGGATACTCTTCGTCTCTCACCCAACTCCCCATATATAAATTACACATTTTAAGTTTCTCAAACTCACTTGCCGAACCACTCTCATTTTTAGCATCAGTCCTATATATGGATTCTTCTGTAGGTGGGTTAACATTCTCAAAGGACTCATTTTCCGGTTTCTCCGAAATCTGAGTTGTAATTACAGAAATGGTCGCATATGTCGGTGGGTTGAGTGGGACTGACTCAGACTCAGAGTAAGACTCAGGCGACTTAACAAGGTTTGTGAGAGAGAACAAGTCCCTGTAAAAAGAGAGAGAAGGTTCTAGAGTGCGTTTCGAAAAGAGAAAAATGCTTAAGAGGAACAAGACAAGGATCATGGATGTAATTGTGTAAAGGTTCTTGTTGCCCATCTAGGATTTATGTTTGAGAGACACGCCGATGCCGTCTCATTAGAGAAACAAAAAAACATCCTACCCACATAATTCGGGTTTTAACATCTTAGTGCAGCGTTTATTCTATTTACACCCTTCTGAGATTGCTTAGTACCAATTCATCCACTTTGTTTTAAAAACATTAAAAACACCCCTATTGTTGGTGATATACAAATAAGGGTTTCATCTTATTTTAAACCCAAATGTCTGTTTTACCCCTTCTCATCGCTTGCCAAGTTAAAAACAATTTCTTAAACCATCTACTTAATCATCCAAATCTACAAATTCAACCTTGAACTTACAAATTTACTTTTCAAGGTTACACATTTATATAATATATCTAAACAAACTTTGATAAAAAAAATGTTCAAATTAAAAAATGAATTTTATTAAATAAATGAATTTAATAAAATATGTAAAGATAAATGTTTATTTGAAAGAAAATTTTTGAAGTTAGATATTTTGAAATTTATATTATGAGATAAACAAAGTTTGGAAAACTATAATCAACCTTGAAATAATTATAATTAAGATAAATAAAAATAACGATGTTTTGGTATAAGTATTTTTTTTTCCCAAGATGATTAATATAAATACAAATGAATAATAAATAATGTGGAAACCATTCCAGTGTTTTAATGATCTATAAAAATAGTGAGAAATAAAAAATAATAATAAGTTTGTACGTTGTAGAATTGAATAGAACATTTACATATTACTAATGGTATGGGTGTTTTTAATACTTTGAACTAAGGGGATGAGTTTAATACTAAGAAATCTCATAAGGGTGTTAAAAAAATTTACTCTTTTAGTCAACTAAAACTCAATTATCCCTTACGATTTCTAAATCCCAAACTTTTTAGGCAATTATGTAATTTTTTATTTAATTATCCTCATTTATTTGAAGAATTAATCATTCATATCCCAAAACCCTAACGTTGTTAAGCTTTTATTAATGATTTACCCTAAATTGTAGTAAGAGTAAAATTACCTCTTGTTGTGCAGTCTTTCCGACGATTAGATTTGTGCCACCTGTCATTTACACTACGTCGGGATCTAATAGTTAAGCTCACCCCACGTGTTGCTCCCATAGCAGATGACTTTGTCAGCAAGATTATCGGTCTTAAGCATGGGTGGGCCTAACTCATATCCACCTCATAACAACCTCCGTTTTGGAGAATCGATTATTCACACAAGAACAAAGGAAACCCACTTAGAGAGAGTTTATCCTCGCTTTTACTCACTCTAAATATAAGGCAAAAACAAAGCAATAACATAATAGTGGACGTAGACTTGGTTCTAACTTGCCGAACCACTTTAAAAATCTCCTCTGTTCTCTTATCATCTTTTTTCTAATCTATTCCAAGCTGGTTATTCATAGCCATGCACACATATTACCCAATCCCGCCAAGGTCGATTGGGTATCTCTGGTTGTTGTGAGTTTTCGTAAAGCCTCCTCCTTGTCAATCTTATTTGTCAATCACACTCAATAGTCATGGCACTTACCAGGTCCAAAAGTGGCGTTAATCACACCAAAAAGAATGAGCCTAGCCACTAGGAGGTCGATCAGAGGGCTAGGTCGACTCACCCACCAATTGTTCCACTAGTGACTCAGTATGGGCAAGAACGTTGTCCAACTTGGGGACTACCCAGATGATGGACATGCTGAGGTCACTCACTAGTGCATTCCAAGGCTTGCAAGAAGAGGTGGCAGGCATAAAGGAAGTTCGACAAGGAAACTAGTCTCAAAACCAATAGGATGTTGTCACTAGAATGTAAAGTTGGGAGCTTAAAACTGCTAGTGGCAACTTTAGTTCGTCTCGCGGCCACCACCATTAGCGGCCAAAAACTAGTGGAATGCAAAGACGTGAGGTTCAAGACCAGAACAACCCGAGCAGATGCCAAAGAAATAGACAATGGCTGAGAAAGAAGCGTGCCAGGAAACTGCTCGCCCTGAGTGAGCAAACAGTCAAGCCCAGCATGCCAGTGTGAACCCACACCCAAGGCGCACTTTGCGTTAGTTAGACACCCAAAACCAATGTACGAGTTCGCACCTTGGATTTTTCTTTGGAAGCTCATCCAACATTGTTATAGTTTTGTTTAGCTCTTCTCCCAAATCTATATATTCGTTAAAACTTTAAGGTTCCTCAGTTGACAACCCATTCCATATTGCCACTTCCAATGGATCTTTACTCTTAAGCTTAAACATTTGATGCTCTAAAGATTCAAGTATATCAACAGAACAACAATCATGTCATCATTTGGATACCTCATTATGTCAAAGATGTTTAATTGAATGACTTCCCCATCAAACTCCATTGTCAACGTCCCATTATGCACATCTATTTTCATACGAGCTATTTTCATGAATGGTCTCCCCAAAAGCAATGGCATGGCTTTCACGGTTGTTTCATCTTTAATGTCAAACATGTAGAAATCCACTAGGAAAACAAGTTCGTTTACGTGCACCAAAACATCTACCAAAGCTCCCTTTAGATAGGCATTAGATCGATCGGAGAGTTGAATAACTACGTCGATCTCTTTACAAGTACCAAGACTTAAATCAAGATAAATCGAATAAGGCATTACATTAATTGAAGCACCTAAGTTTAACATTGCCTTTTCAAACCTTGTGTTGCCTATGATGCATGGTATTGTGAAACTACCTGGATCTTTGCACTTCGGTGGAAGTTTCCTTTGCAAAATTACTAAAACATTCTCTCCTACGCTTACCACCTCGTTACCTTTGAGTTTCCTCTTGGTGGTGCACAATTCTTTAAGAAATTTTGCATAATGCAACAATTGCTTATCGTGTCCACTAAAGGTACATTAACGTGTACTTTTCTAAAAGTTTCCAAAATTTATTGCTCATGTTCCTCTTTCTTTGATGTTGCAAACTAGCTAGGAAAAGGCAAAGGAGGTTCATAAGTATTGGTAGGAACTTCAGAATGTACCTTAGGTGGCCCTTTTGTGTCGATAGAATTAGTTGGCGAATTTTTTTGCACTTTTGGACTGCTTTGTTCCACCTTCAATCACCTCATCCTCCATATCTTTCTCATCAATCAACTTCTTGTGAATTTCCTCAAGTTTTTTTCCATTTCTCAAAGTAATGGCACTAGCATTCTCCTTAGGGTTAACCATGGGTTTGGAAGGAATTTTTCCAAACCCTTACGCCTCTAGTCTTCCAATGGTAGTAACTAATTGACTAAGTTGGCTTCCAAATTCTTGATTAACATTTTTGTTTCTTGTTGGAATTGAAGGGTGCTAGTGGCTAATGAATCCACTATATCCTCCAAAGATTTACCTTGAGGTTGGGAAGTATTTTGGGGTCTTGCTTGATATGGTTGTTGAGCCCCTGGATAAGGAAATTTGGGTGGATTGGTATAGGCAGCAGCTTGTTGATTTCCTCCATAGCTAAGATTAGGATGATCTCTCTATCCCAAGTTGTAGGTATTAAAGAATGGATCATACCTTTGCCTTTGCTATCCTTTGTATCCTCCCACAGCATATGCTTGTTCCATATTAGGTTCTTGAAGGGTAGGACAATATCGGTAGGATGCCCCACATTTGAGCAAATTTCGGGTGTCTTCACTTGTCCAAGTGCAATTTGTTGCACAAGTGTAGTTAGGTTATTTAATTTTTGCTCAATATTGTTGGCGACTCCCACTTCATTTACCTTCATTTGTGGTTATTTAGATCGAGCACTAAATTGTTGAGAATTGGCAGCATGGTTGCAATTGGTTTTATCAACTAATGCTCCTCCACTTGTCGCATTTATCATACTCCTCTCCATTGGCATCAATCCTTCATCGAAATATTGTAGTATTAGTTGTTCACTTATTTGATGGTGAGGACAACTAGCACACAATTTCTTAACCTTTCCAAATATTCATACAAGTTCTCCCCATTAGATTGCCTAGTACCACATATTTCTTTCCTAAAGAGTGTGGTTCTACACACTAGAAAATACTTCTCCAAGAAAAGCCTTTTCATCTCATTCCAAATAGTTATGGTTCGAATGGTAGATAATAAAGTCACTCCTTAGCGTTATCGTCTAAAGAGAACAGGAACGCCCTTCACTTCACTTGTTCCTCCATCGTTCCACTTGGTTTCATACTTGAACATACCACATGGAACTCTTTAAGGTGTTTGTTTGGATCTCCCCCACTGAACCTCAGAAAGTAGGCAAAATATGTATCATCCCAAATTTAACCTCAAAAGTTTCCCCTGCCATATCATTGTACCGAATACATAAAGGGTGTTGGTCAAGGGTTGGTGCAACCATCTCTTTGAGAGTTAGATTAGCCATCTCCTCTTGATTAGAAAGATCTAAAAATTTTGAAAAATGTTACGAATCACTTGTAGATGTAAAATCGGTATGGGTTTCTTGTGTAAGTAATTGATTAATGAAACACAACGGAAAAATACAATTAAAACAAATAGATCAATTACCTTATGCCAAGATCCTAGTATAGATTATATTGGTTATATGCTTATAATCAAAATCAATATAATAATAAACTCATACAAGGATTTAGAACACAATACCTACATTTGGAGGTGTGGAATATTCATATTTTTCAAACTTTTGAGTTGTGTGTGCATACTGGTTGCCAATCTTATGATTTGGCTTGTTTCTTTTGTTATGTGTGTGCACAACAGTTTTGTGTGCACACTGGGTGTTAGACCTATGTCTTGGCTTGTTTCGTATCGAGTGTGTGTGTGCACAACAGTTTGTGCTTGCACACTCGCTTTAGATATTTGCAACCTAGCACGAGTTGCATGTCGATAAAGTAGCAAAGATATTTGTTTATCTTTGTCTTTGCCTTTTTAGAACCTTTTACATGTGTCATATTATCCTTAAGTGATCCTAGGGAATAAAGTTGCTTTTCCCGATTTGTTTTGTGGTCCAAACCAAAAGAAGGAATACTTTCCTTATTTGGACAAACATGGGTTAGCCCCTTGTTGTCTAACGTGGCACATATGTGTTGGGCAAGAAACCCTACACTATAT